AAAAATTGAAAATATCTAGACAAGTTTTCTCAATATTAGTTTAAGTAAGATATCAACTCAAACTTTAATAGATTAAAGTGAGTTGAGTTAAAATGAGTAGGTCAATAATCAATTTGAATTTGAACGGATTGAATATGTTATAATTTTATGGATTATTTTTGTCACCTTTAATCATAATAGTGCTTGTTGAAAAGGAAAAAAGAAAACTTAAAACATAATTAACATTTCAATTGCCAAAAACGATAGAGAGTTCAATAGAGGTAATAGATAAAAATTTAAACGTGAAAAATTATTAATACTCATTCACTTATGCTACATAATTGTCTTTTTCAATTGTTTCAAGTAAGCCAGCAAGTGAGTTATTATTAGAATGGAGTCGAGCGGAATGGGTAATCACATAATAGGTTAGGGTAAAGGAATAAATAAATGGGGTGGGGGATAACATTTTTTTTTTTTAGTAGAGTAACGTTTCTAAGTTTTTCATGTTTGATTGGTTTAAATATTTTAGAAAATATTTTTCAAATCAACCTATTTTTCTCAAATTTAAGGAAAATGACTTCCCTTAAAAAAAATAAGGAAATCAAAAGATCCATTTTATGTAACGACCACTTTGGTGTGGTCACATCGTTACCTTAATGTTTCTTCTCATTTTGTCTTTATTTATAATTTAATAATTATATTTCATCTTTGATCCTACTTTTTCATAGTAGCTTTACCCCATATCAGGGGCAGAGCTATGATGTCTCCAGGGTGTCCAACTTGTCACACCCCGAACCTACACCCTAGATGTGACCGACACTTGAGAATCATTTTTGGTCCCTAAGCGAACATGTGTCCTTGTTGACTACTAAGCGGAAGACTAACTTAAGCATACACAAGCATCAAACTGAAGAATAGTTTAAAAACAGTTTACTAAATTTCAAAGCTATCTAAAAATACTGAGTATTTATAAATATAAAGTTTGAATTAATAATTTGAAATTGAATACCATAAGACTGACCAAGATTATCTATCGATAAAGTTTCTATTGTAGATAGGTGTCGGGACAAGACCCACGACACCTCATAACGCTACTACTAACAAATCATAAAACTGGAGTCCTTCGAAAGCAAGAAGGCCTCACCAAAAGCTGACGAGCGGATAATCATGTGATCTCAACAAAACTCCAGCGGATGATCCTAAGTACCTGAATCTGCAACATGAAATGATGCAGGTCGAATGACATTAGTACATTGAATGTATGAGTATGTAATAGGGCAAAATAAAACAAAAAACTGAACGAGAAGACTAAAAGTAACTCAATTGAAATATAGCATAAATCATGATGAAAATTACTTAACCTTTTACTCAAAGAATGCAATAAAAGTAAATACAAAGCTGATATATATACACACACACACACTCTTTACTTTACTTTATTGTGGATTTTCTCTAACCAACAAGCATCACTATGAGCCTCATGATGATAAAGTGTCTTGCCTATTCTGCCAAAACTACCTTATACCTTGTGAGGGTATAGAACAAACTCAACTCATGGATCTACTATAAAGATCTTCTCAAAGGCAGTAAGGAGTCGCCCGAAAGACAGTGCGATCCTAACTCACGTTGGCTACGTGTTTTATGAGAAATGTAAGTTGTTTGAATTTTTTCTTATATCAGTTCTCAATAATACTCTCAAAATATATAACTCAATGCTCAAGTAAAAATACTCTCTCTGGATTGAGATAAGTTCTCAAAAAGGTCTCCTTAAGAGGTAATTGCTCTGTAATAAACTAATAATTATGTCTGAAAAACTCTTATACTTTTCTGAAAATAGTGTTCTCTTTCTCCATGTAAAAATGATACATTTTGGAATCATTTAATTTCCTTGAACTCTACTAAAAAATTATACTTTAAACTTTACTCTTGAACTCACTTTTACTTCTCAAAATCAATTTAAGGAAAAATATTTGATCAAAATATTTTCAACAAAAACTTAGTAAATGGGGTTCATGTGGAAATATAAACATGAACAACAACTCAAGGATATCAATGCATAATATATAGCAACTCATAATCAAGAATTTAAAATTCGAAATCAATAATGTAACTCATCACAGAAATTCTCGAAACTAAGGGTATAACCCTAGATTAAACTTTTATTGACTAAATTTAGATGTAGGGTGTGAGGATGAATTAAATCTATCACTGTGATTAACCTTAAATACCTGATTATACAGTTATTAGACCGAAAACTTTGATTGAGAATTGATTTTTCTTGAGCCCAAGTAAAAACACTATCATTCTTGAATGAAATCTTTGGTCTTGAAATCTTGGTGCTTGATCTTGATAAAAGAAATTCTTTTATTGAGTTTCTAGAGTGGAAGAACTTGGGAAATCTTGGGTGAAAGACTTCTCTTTGTATCTTGAATTTTTTACTTGAAGGTTTTAGGGTTCTTGATGGAGAAGAGGAACCCTAGGTGAGTTTTGAGAGAATTTCTAGAAACTTGAACGTTCCGATTGATAATTTTGAGAGGAAAACTAGTTAGTCGTCAAATGATATACTTAATTAAAACACCCAAAATCGACTTACAATAGGACTAAAAAACTTGGAAAGAACCAAAATAACCCCTTAAACTTGTGCAGAAAGTTTATGAAAAAATTCGCAGAAAGCCTTCATAGAAGGTTCTACGGTTCATGGAACATTCCACCATCATTAGTTCTGATTGTAGAACATTGACTGTCTGATAGAGCTTTACTAAAATGGGCATAACTTTTTACTCTAAACTCGAAATGAGGCAAACTTGGTGGCGTTGGAAAAAGGACTCATAGACCTTTAATTTGGTAGGTCATGGACCATCTAATTCACTATATACTAAGAGATATGATTCTTTGAAGTTGACTTAAGTAAAATCTTATATCAAAATCAATCAATAAGAAAACTTTCAACTCAATTTTGTGATAAGGAATTCTTGTGACCTTAATTAGGTGTAAAAACATTGGGGTTTAGATTAAGAAAGAGTGGAAAAAGACTAAAATAAACCCCCTTAAAAATTGACAGAAGTCGTCTATGGAAGGCCATCTACTATTCGCACAAAAGTCTATGGGTCGTAAACCCTCTCGTAGGAACATGCTGAGTTTTCTGAATTTATGAAGTTAAGGATTACGGGCCCTTTCTACGGCCCGTGGAAATTTTGATGGGAAGTTCTACTCGCTCGTAGGAAGCTTATTAGAGTGTGCTTCAGGTTTAATTTTGATTTCCATGATGCCTTTTAACGGATCATGGGAACTTCTACGACCCGTTGTCTAGTCCGTGAAACTTAAACCCGAGAACCAACTTTTAAAGGTCTGGTTCATAGATACTTCTACGGGCCGTTGAAAGCGTGGCACCATACACCATAAATTTTCAAGGTTAGAATTTTCGAAGTGCTACACAACTAGACATCCTTAATTAAAAAATTACATTATATATATATATATATATATATATATATAATCTGACTTTCTGTTGGTATATATAGTATTTTGGACATCTTTAAAAACTAAAGAATTCGTAGAGCAGTAGCTAAAGCTCTCACTAATCCATGCGGTGTTTGGGTTTGACTCTTGACATATGCGTTTTTTTAAAGACACTTGACATATGCGTTTTTTTATTAAAAATTAATGTGGCCTGCTTGACAATAATAATATAATAAAACTTGGCGTAATTTTGACACAAATATCCGGTGCTTTGTGGGAAATGGTGTCAAATTTATGCAAATATCCTATAGATTTATGATAAATAGTGTCAAATTTGTGCCCATGCTTTTATGGGATTCCTTATTTTTACTTTAAATTAAGTGTTATTTTTTAAAAAAATATTAATTAAAAATAGTATAAAATATCAATATTTGATGTTCATTCCTTTTATGATAAGGTCCAATAAATAATAAATAAAGTTCTCTTCCTCTATAATTAGCAGACTCATTTATCCAAATTATATTACAATCAGTGATGTAGCTACATGATTGTCAGAATGTCCAATTGGATATCCTTTGCCAGAAAAATATATTGTATATACAAGTAAAATGATATATGAAATGATTAAATAACATATTTTAGGCACCCTTAATACAACAAGTTGATATAACTTAGTGATTTCAGATGTTTGGAATGATGTAGTTCCCGCGTCCGCCACTGATTACAATATTATTGAGAATAAGAATTTCAATAATTCTCTCTCTATTTTTCTTCTCTTTCTCTTATAAAAATAAATCTTGAATTATTAATAAATGCATTACTAATTCATACATTACTAATCAATTTTTTTTAATTAATCACTATTAACTTTCTTTCCACATAATCACATATTAATAATTTAGGAAAAATTACTTAAATACACATCTTATTTTATCATAATCTCTAAAATTTCCTACAATTTAAAAAAATTTCAAAAATCCCCTCTCGGATACATCACTTTTTTCTCGCTGATACATCTCTATCCCCCTCTCGGATACATCACTCCCGTATTTGATACATCCCTCCCCTCTCAGATACATCCCTCATCTATGTATCTATATGTCTTCTAATGTATCCGGAAGTTTAGTGATGTATCCGGATGTCCTATTCCCTCCCCTCTCGGATATATGGAAGTCCAGTGATGTATCCATATGTCCTATTTCCTCTATGATACATCCCTCCCCTCTCTGATACATCACTCACCTATGCATCCAGATGTCTGTTAATGTATTCGAAAGTCCAGTGATGTATGTGGAAGTCTAGTAATGCATCCGAAATCCATAAATTTTAAAGAGATTTTTGTAATTTGAAAAATAATTGGAAAATAATGTAATTATACTATTTTAATTAGAATAGATAAGCATGGATTAACTTTCTTTCCACATAATCCCATTTTAATTTTAATTATTAGAAACGATAAGCATGGTGAGATGAGATAAAAGTCCAGTTCTTTTCTTGATTGCTCCGATCGCCGCCGATCAAGTTTTGCCAAAAAAAATAATCTGAAGATTGAATGAATGTATTGAAATGTTAGCTTCTAAAGTCACGAAGAAAACATTAAGATGGAGATTCAGAACGAGAGCTTTAGCTTTTGAGGAGCAATTTGATTTGCTAGCAAGTGGATTTAGTCGTTCCTTTTCTGTTGCGAGGAGTTTCGGAGCAGACAACACTTCGTCTCTAATCAATTTGAGGTATTCATTGAAGAAATTTCTCATGTTAAGCTTTCTTCCATGTGTTTTAGTAATTTTGTTTCTCTTTTGGTTATGTTGTTCGCGGTAGTGTTTGATGAATTACTGATAACCTAACGGGGTGTTTGACCATGAAAATTTGGAGTATTTGAAGAATGTAGTTTTTGTTTTCAAAAGGGAAAAATTACATTTGAAAATTGAATTCAGTTGTTTTTGGCCACGAATATACATTGGAGTTGTTTTTGAATCTTTGTAAGTAATATGGAGATCGCTGTACCCTGAATTTGTTTCCTTGCATAATTTTAGATAATTGTTATTTTGAAATTTATCTCAACAACCAAGAGAATAAAGCAATATCATTCAAGTGCAATGTATGGAGTTTGTTAGTGTTGGAATCATAGTGACTGAAAGAAGCAATCATACTAAATCATGCCAACTAACTGTCAACACCATGGGAGAGATTTTCTAATTTTTTTTATGTATAATGATCATAAGGAAAGAGCTGATCTTCACAATGAAGTCGTTTTCCAAAATAAATCTTGAGTAAGTGGTGTCAGTGGTCTTGCAAGGCTGCTTAAGCGTTTTATTTTGGTTATCAAAAAAAAGAAAATAGTTGTTAGTGAATTACTGCAGTTTGATCAGTAGATTGGCAACCAAAAACTTTTTTACAGATCTTGGAAAGTTTCATGCTACTATTATCGTACACCTCTTTCAAATTGAGACACTTTGGTAATGGTTTCCAGCAGTTACTTTAAATCAGGTGATTTGGAGAAAAGTCAGTGTGTTCTTTAAAGCTACTGTGCAAGGTTTTAAGTACTATGAGCTTTTTCTCGATTAGTTTCACTGCCATGCAATGACTTTTGACATGTAACTTTTCGTATTCCACCTTTTCTTGATAGTAAAATAACTATTTCCTTGCAGCAAGGATACTGAAGGAGGAGCATTCCAATTGCGAAGACAAATGAGAAGAGATTCTTCATGTAATCCTTTATTTAATCAAGATCATAGGGTGGTTAGAACAAGCATTGGATCTTTTTCTTCGTCAAATCGTTATTATAGAAGCCATGGACATTTAAAAGATATCAAAGACAAGGTATCTACTTTTCGTCAGTCTTTGTGGATCTTGCTGAGATTTCATGTAGTGTGCTTTACTTTTTCTGATATCTAATATTGGTGACCTAACTTGTGTAAGGATTAAGACATATGCTAACTTCCTGAAGGCATCAGCTCTAATTCCTTTACTTTTCTCTTTATAATTTTGGCACCATATAATTAATTGTGCAGTTCTTAGGATCTGTCCCTGAAGTTGTCAAGATAGTAGAAGTTGGCCCCAGAGATGGACTGCAAAATGAGAAGACTATAATACCTACGGAAGTGAAGGTGGAGCTTATTAAATTACTTGTTTCTAGTGGACTACCAGTTGTTGAGGCTACTAGTTTTGTGTCTCCAAAGTGGGTACCACAGGTATATATTTTGCTTGTCGGGGATTTTATGCTTACATGTCTTGCATTTGTCATCCTTATACTTGTCCTGCAAAATGTGGTTTTTATTGCTAATTTTTTCTTTTCCAACTGTGTGAAACGAGAATAATTTTCATTTCAGTTCTTCTTTTAATGGTTAGTTTTTCATCTTAAAGCATGAGTATGAGTTTTTTCTTATTGTCATTAGTTACTCACCAGTTAGGACTCTTACTAAGTACTAAGGCCCTTAAAGATTGTTACTTTTGTATTTTGTATATTTTGCAAGATCAATTTGACCGTGAAAAACATTGTTTAATGCCCCTTGAATGCTTTGTTATTCATTTTGGATTTTTGAGGAGAAAACGTCTGGTTTCTCAAAGATCTGGTTCCCTCAGGTAGAGATATACGGAAAAGTTTCCAGTTTCTAGGTTCGAGTGCTTAATTCTATCTAGCTTTTTTGCTTTACAATGATGATTTACAAAATGGCAAATACTCAAATGAGTAGTGTATGTCTGGTAGCCGTGTATCTAGTCATGCTTTGTGTTTTAATCAAGTTCATACTTTTATAGTGTTGGTGATATTGCTTATCTGCCAAAACTAAATTGCAGCTAGCTGATGGGAAGGATGTAATTGAAGCAGTTAAGAATCTTACAGGGGTGCGCTTACCTGTTTTGACACCAAATCTTAAAGTAAGCTGATAGAAATGCAAAGCGTGAGATTCTCCTTTATATGTCTTGTTACATAAGTATACATTTTCTTGCTCACACAGGGGCCTGGATAATTGGGATTGCTCATAGTTTTTCATTGGCTCTATTCCAGGGTTTTGAAGCAGCTGTTGCAGCTGGAGCCAAGGAAGTGGCAATCTTTGCTGCAGCATCCGAGTCCTTTTCTCGGTCTAACATAAATTGTAGCATTGAAGACAGTCTTTCTCGCTATCGTGATGTTGCTCTTGCAGCCAAAAACCATTCCATCCCTGTTCGCGGGTATGAATTCTAGCAGATCTACATATTCTAGGAAGTCAGGTTTTTACATTTCCAATTTTACCGGATTAATTATTTATGTCTTCAAGGTAAGTTAGTTTTAAAACCATGTGTAGTAGAGACTCAAGGCTTGTTTAATTCCATTAGTCTCTTTCAGAATCTTGCTGAACCCATATGGCTTAATAATTGTTACAATTCTTTCAGCAGAACATAATGATTGCCTTTTTACATCATATACTAGCTTAAAAATTTTCATACATTGGAGCAAGGTGGTTAAATTTTGCTATAACTTCAGATCGCCTAAGAATCTCCCCATTCATAACCTTTAAGCATAAAGTACTTACTATCGATCACTTCCAGCTTTCCCTTTTTCCATGATACAATTTCCAAAGATGAGGTTTACAATTGTTCTAGATCTGAAGGCAACCTTTAGTGTTTTCCGGTGGAGTTCTAACTATTGACCATGTTATATTGTGGACAGTTATCTCTTCTCTTCCTTCCAGGAATTAATGTGGAACTGAAAATTTTGGTAAAAAGAATATAAATATTGAACTTCATGAGTGTTTGTGTATTACTGTCTAAAGATAACTTTCTTTTGGATGAACTACAAAATGTTCCATTAGCATGTATTGCAATTTTCCTGTGTAATCCAAGTACCAGCTTATTGACTATGGCCCTTGTTACAAAGTATTCAGAGTATATTCATATCTAGGGATGTCTATGTTCACAGAATAATCCAGGTGAACTGGCTTTCAAAGGATAGGGGCTGCATATTAGCTCACCAGTTGCTCTGCTAATCTCTTTGATTATATATGAGCTTTTCATGCTTTCTGTCATTCTAATTATTGCTATAGTTGATTGTTACAGAAGTACATTCCTGTTACATGTTTGTATTTAATGATGTCCAATCCCTCGTATTTTAAGCAGCTAGAAGTATTAAAATTTACTGAATGGAGGTTCCTTTGTGGACAGCCATTAAAATTGGAAGGGCAAAGGATTGAGTAATTACTTTTTTTGGAAATGATGATTCAACGATTAACATTTGGGTCAAAATTTGTGATTTTTGCTTTTCCTGATTATTTAAGCCCTACCTATGTGTATGAGCTCAAATGGTTCCTTCCTTAGTGGCTAGACTTTGACATGCAAAAGGTTTTGGTTTCTGGTATTAGATAAATCTTCAAATCAAGGTAGCTCTGTCATTTCTAGTACCAAACGAGCACTAATAGTAAATCTGTTGTACTTGGTAATAATGCTTAGAAATTTTTTCTTTTGTTGTAGACATTTATTTGGAGAAGTAAGGTTGCATCTCTGGAACTGAAAAGTAGCTATCATTATTTTCTATCAGGTATGTATCATGTGTCGTTGGCTGTCCCATAGAAGGAGCAGTGTCTCCATCAAAAGTTGCACATGTGGCTAAAGAACTTGTAGATATGGGTTGCTTTGAAATTTCTCTTGGTGATACAATTGGAGTTGGTACTCCAGGTAATCCTAAGTCTTCTCTGGTTTCACCTTTCCCCATTTTGTACCTTTGGTCTGCTAGAAGAATCTGCATCTTTTTGCTCTTTCGGTAAAATACTAGCATGTGCCAGCAAATTACATTTCTTGTCATTAATTTTGATTCTTAATTTAAGAAGAATTCTGTAGTTCACTCCTTTGAGAGACAAGCTTTTGCTGTATTACTTTCAAGCTACAGGCTACTGAGTCAACATAGACATCTTAACAACATATATTTTTTCTTTAGAGAAGTGCATTATTGCTATGTTATTAGTTAATCAGTACACATTTAGCTTGTTTTGTAGAATTACTGGATTTTAGATCAATTTCCAATGACGGACAGTGGTGACTGCTTATAATGTATAAAGTGAGGTTTCAATGTTGTTTTCTTCTGGCTTTAAGAGATGAAAAATAAAATAAAAGAAGTCTCTCAGGATGGTGTCAAGTAGGTTTTTAGTGCGATGTTTTTTAGAGGAAAATAATTATCATAAAAAACAGAGAAAGAAAGTAGTGTATATAATCCTTTAAATAACTGAGACACGTAGTTGTCAAGTGTTAACTGTTAAATGATTGTATGGTCATGATAACATTGATAAAGGCATGATAGGAAAGACAATAATGTTCACCTTCTCTTTTTTCATTGTTATATTAGAAGACATAAGCTATAACCTCAATGACTCAACTGTACACATATTTGCCCTGCTGATGAACTTCCAGGATTGTATGGTCATGAGAACCTTGATAAAGGCATGATAGGAAAGACAATAATGTTCACCTTCTCTTTTTTCATTATTAAATTAGAAGACATAGGATATAACCTCAATGACTCAACTGTATACATGTTTGCCCTGCTGATTAACTTCCAGGTGCAGGTCTTCTACACTCCCTTAACTAGATAGGTTTGAACTCGATAGCTTAATAAGGAGATACGTGACTGTGAAGTCTACTCAGAATCAGTCTAGTGAAAGTATTGGCCATCTGTGAATCTGTTATTCAACTTTTTTGTCTATACAAAATTACTAAAAAAGTGCAATGGACGTTCATCAATTGGTTTTCCTTTAAAATTAAAGAAAGACAGTTACTATATGTCAATTGTTTTTCTTGAGTTTTTATCTGAAATGGATTTGTTACATCTTCCCCATATTTTCTGTCTCTGCTCTCCATTTATTAGGTACTGTTATTCCAATGCTTGATGCTGTAACTCAAGTTGTCCCTGTAGAGAGGCTTGCTGTTCATTTCCATGACACTTATGGACAAGCTCTTTCTAACATTCTTGTGTCATTGCAAGTAAAATCTCCTTTCTCTGCTTGTAGTGAGAAGTTTTTTCACATGTTGGCATATTTTATCACATTATGAGAAATTTGTTCGTTGTATAGTTGGTGCTGTGTCCATCCAAATCTAAAAGGTGTAGTAGCATGTCTTATTTTTTCTTGTGCAAGTTGGCATGCAAAAAGATAATTAAAAAGAGGAAAAACGAAAAATAGCAGAGGTATCTACTATCGAGTACATCAGGGAAAGGTCAGGTAAGCTAGCAATCCATTGTAACATAAAGATCCGTCAATGCCAAGTGAATGGCGTCAAAGTAAGTCCATGAGAGCACTAAGTATAAGGCCACAAACGACATGGACTAACCAGTAGCTGAGTGTGTGATTCTCATGTGACAGCCTCCTTCCCAAGGGAAGGCAAACACAAAATTAATTGGATCTAATGCAGCCATCTCATCTGCTGCATGAGACTCTGGTGTTTGTATCTAAACTTTCAGCCTATCATTCACTTCACTACGCGTCTTGTGAAAACACAATATCATCTGTGAATAAAACACACCACAGCACCTCCCTTTGAATATGTCGTGTCAATTCATCCATCATTAAGGCAAATAGGATCGAGCTAAGGGCTTATCCCTGGTGCAACCCCGTCACGTGCGGAAAGTGTTCCAAGTCACCTCCTACTGTTCTAATCCGGGTCTTGGCTCCATTGTGCATGTCCTTAATTGCCCTATGTAATCCACAAGTACACCTCTAGCCTCCAAACATCTCTAGAGGACCTCCCATAAGGACTTTTATCGGACACTGTTTCTAGGTCGATGAACTCTCCCTATGCTGCTCCAACAATCTCCTTACAAGATGGATAGTTTCAGTAGTTGATCGTCGCAACATGATTCCAGTTGGTTTACGGGTATAGACACACCCCTCCTCATCCTTATTTCAACCACCCTCTCCCAAACTTACATAGTATGGCTTAGTAGTTTGATACCCTTATAGTTGTTCCAATGTTGAGCATCACCCTTGTTCTTATACAAAAACACCATTGTCCTCCACCTCCATTCTTCTGCCATTTTTCGTTGTCCTAAAAATGACATTAAGTTACCCAGTCAACCACTCCATACCTGGTCTGGCCCGGCGTTCTTCCCCTCCTCATCTTATGAATAGCCACTTAACCTCTGCAACCTTTATGCACCTGCAATACCAAAAATCTCTACGACTTACGGAATGCTCTGGCTCCCCCAACATAATACCCTTGTCCCCTTCTTCATTCAATAGCTTAGGGAAATACGTCTGCCATCTTCGTCTAATGTGTGCTTCTTCTACTAATACTTTGCCATTCTCTTCTAGATACACTTCACTTGGTCCAGGTCACGGACCGTCCTCTCTCGCCTTTGTGAGCCTATACAACTTCCTGTCCACGCCTTTGCCCTCGACTCTTTATACAAGTGCTCAAAAGTTGTCGTCTTAGCCATCGCGACCGCTAGTTCGCTCCTTCTCCATGGTCTTATACCTCTTCCTATTCCTCTTATCCTCCTTGTCTAAGCTTTCCACTAACGCCGTGTAAGCAGTTTTCTTGGCTTCCACTTTTCCTTGGACCTCTCCATTCCACCACCAATCCTCTTTATTCCCACCTGGGTTACTCCTCGAGACTCCTAACACCTCTCTAGTTACTTCTCTTATGCAATCAGCTGTCCTAGCTCACATACTATCTACATCCCTGCTACTCCCCCAAGCCCCAATAGCCACCATCTTCTCTTCTTCTGAGATTTGGTCTTAGTCAGGCCTCTCCATCTAATCATTGGCTGGTCATATGCAATAATGCAGCCCTCTTATTCTTCTTCCTCTTGATATCTAAATCCATAACCACGAACTTATGTTGGGCTGTATTATTTGCTCTCAGGATAACCTTACTGTCCTTGCATAAAACCTTATCACACTTCCTAAGGAGTAGGTAGTCTATATGAGTCTTGCCACCACACTCTGGTATGGAGTATAAACTACATCAAATTGGCCCTTAAAGCTTACCTTAACGTTGTAGATGATCTTGGTTGAAAACCCTTGTTGGAGTGGTGTGCAAGCTCGGGAAAATGAAGAAAAGAAATTGAATCTCGATTTTGAACTTTGCATGGGTTGAAAAAGTTGTGGGGATATGCGTGCAAGCATGCATCATGCATACAAGATTTCCTGCATGCAGAAAAAGCCCTTCTGTTATTGTGTGCAAGAATGCACTGGGCACGCAAGACTTCCTGCAAGCAAAAAAAAATATAAAACTTCCCTTCTGTTGCGTGCTATGTGTGCAATCATGCATCATGTGCACAAGGTCTTCCTGCAGACACCCTATTGTAAAAATGATTATTATTTTTGTAGGAATGTACCCCAAAAAAAATAAAACATTGCAGAGTTTTACAAAACAAAAACTTGATATGATTAGGGTCCTTGGATGTGTATCTTGTTACTGTATCCAGGTCATTCGGCAAACCACTTAATTGATGGAAATGGCATGAACTTATTATGTATTCTTTGGCACTTTGAACCTTAATGCAAAAATAATGCTTGAAGTACCATAATGTTAATCTTGACAGATGGGGATCAGCATAGTGGATTCATCTGTATCAGGACTTGGAGGTTGCCCATATGCCAAAGGTGCCTCGGGTAATGTGGCTACGGAGGATGTCATTTACATGCTCAATGGACTAGGAGTGAAGACAAATGTGGATCTGAGAAAGCTTCTATTGGCTGGAGATTTCATCTGCAAGCATTTGGGTCGCCCTTCTGGTTCTAAGGCTGCCATTGCCTTGAGCAGAACAACAGCTACTGCCTCAAAGCTTTAAGGGACATCTGATGCCGCTGAAATTGTGCACTATGTCCACTCTGAGGTGAAAGTCACTTCAGACCAACTTCAACTGTAGCATTACTGTCACTCATACCGTTCCATCATTGTCTTATGTTAAACATATCCATGTCAATGTGTCCCCTGGTCAATGGCATAGCTACATAGAATGGAGGGTAGTCGGTTGAACACTCTTCGTCAGAATATTATTCCGTGTATATAGAAAATAATTTTAGGTCGAATATTTTTCTCTTAGTCGTTGACACTCGACATAGTGCCAGTGTTCTCTTGCCTTAGTGTAACTGGATTTAAACTACATATTTTCAATGTCTTCATAATCATCTGAAATATGGTGGTAGTTTTAGACTATGTTGTTCTGAATGCTTAAGAACATTTACAATTGCAGGTATTTATTGACTTCACACAGGGTTGTACTGAGGGTACGTAATTAAGTTGGGTGGGAATTCTGGCTGTATACTTTGCTGTAATTAATTATGTAAATATTTTGTTACTTCCTTGTGCATTTTATGTGATATATTTTGCTTGTCTTGTCCCATAAAAAATGATGTGTATTTCTTTATTTGGAAATTATTTAAATATTGTCATTTCCATACCTTTGAATTTTGATGTCATGATTTGCTAGCGAGAATCGTTTTTTATTCTTTTAAAAATAAAATAAAATGCAGTACTATATCTTTTCTATGAGAATTTTTCATTTTTACACATTAAATATCTGAAAATGTCATTATCGACAGGAAATTAGGGGTGTGCAGAAAATGATTTAACCAATAAATCAAACCGAAAAAACACATTTATTGGTATTGGGTTAATGGTTTTCAAACGATTTTGTACAAAAAAAAGTTTATTGGGACAATTTGATTTTCGGTGTTTTGATTTTGGTTAATGATTAAATCAATAATTCAATATGATTATATTAAAATTAGGCTTAAGTCATACGTAACCCCTTAAAGTTATTCGCATATTTCATTTTGATACCTTATTCAAAACAAATACCTATTAAACACGGCAAAGAAGGTGCAAATCACCTACATTTAGCGCGTCAGAAGGGTACTTTTAATTAGTTTTTTTATTCTCTTTCTTCTACCTTGTTCATTAGCCACAACTTCTTCAACGCCACCACATTTTCCATAGCTGCCGCCGATGTTGCTCAGAGATAAGTTGATGTCTCTACTCCATAGACATGAGATGAATTAGTTGTTCATCATTAGTTTTGTAGTTGATTCCACTGTCACTTCTTCTTTTTTTCTCAAAAGGCCACATGTACGTCACTGATTTGTCAATTTGTCATGTCATCGCAAGTGTATTACACACATTTATATTTTTTTAGCTAATTGTTAAAAAAATGTTCAAATCCGAATAGGTAGAGGTGTTCAATAGGTACTAGTCCTAGTTAAGGTGTCTAAGTGAATTATGCGGATAACTTTAAGGGGCTACATATGATTTAAGCCTTAAAATTATTATTTCACACATTAATAGAGTATATAACAATGACTTTAATATTTTACCAATTTTATTTTCTAAATTTTAGTATTACTTTTGACGGTAGACAATACAAATTGGTCTCTCTCCCTCTATTGCGACACTTTCTCTCTTCTCTACACAAACTAGTATTATCTTCTCAATTTTAGATTTGATTGTGACAAAGACAACTAATTTATGTTGTTTTCTCAATTTATTGCATGAGTTTTTAGAAGGAATTCGAACAATTATGTCTTAAATTAAAGTGATTAATGTAGAAGTTTGTCTTGGACTTCTATTCTTGCTGCTATTTCTATTTTTTAGAACACTGTTATATATGATTATATGAACACTTTCTTATCGTTTAAATCAAAAATCGAATTATTAAGAACCAAAAATTAATAAATAAACATCTTATTAATTTAATATTCTATATAGCATATTCACAAACTAAAAACTGATAAATTGAATTGTTAATACATAAAGTCAAATCAAACCGATTGATATACGCTTACACAAAATATCTCATTTCTTCTAAAAAAAAAATAATTGTTGCTGCTAGGATACACTTAATACAAAGACCATCCAGCTTATAAGGACCGTTTGGACATGAAGATCTTTCCATTTTAGAAAAATAAAAATAAAATTAAAACTTCATTGATTATATAGTGAAATGATTTTTGGGCTGGTTTCTAAAGATAAGTTCTTCAAATTTAAAAAATTGAAGAAGTGATTTTTTTTCCCAAACATAACTTTTAACTTTGTTTTAAAGTGATATGTATATCCAAAAACATAACTAATCATTTTGAAATTTTCACTTCAAAAATTCTTATTTCTCAAACTTCAACTAAGTGTATGTATAAAGTTTCTTTTTGTAATATTTCGAGTGTTCAATATTGTTCTTCATCCTTTATTAAAGATTTATAAGCTTAAATTTGATAGTTTTATTATTAACATTTTGAGCATTTGAGGACATTCGATTTAAATTTTAAAAATGATAAAATATATATTTTTTTGTTTCTTTCTAAAATACTTTAAATATTTATGAAAAAAAATCTTCTATTATGATATATTTGGCGCATGTTTTATTTTTATAAGAGTTTATAATCTATTAATGTTTTAACATAAATAATATGTTTATTTATATCAAAAAATATCTTTATATAGGGTAGCATTTATATAAGTTATTTTTTATTAATTATTTGGTGGAAAAATCTTTGACGATTTATTCAATCACTGAAAAAAGCATCAAATTATTTAAGTGTGAGTCGAAGGTATATGAGGACAAGTTCTTTTCTTTTGGGGCAGGATTTAGTGAGCTTTAAGGTTTCAAATCTAATGTGTTATTAATGAGTCAGTTATAACTGTCTAAATTATTGTTAGCGTTATTCTTGTTTAAAATTCGTATTCGATGATGTCGATTCCGTGTCAAGATGGGAGTAAAAGGTTATTGTATATATTATTAAGGGAAAAGGGTCAAAAATGCCCTTTAACTATGTGAAAGGAACAAAAATGCCCCCGTTTATAGTTTGGCTTAAAAATGCCCTTACCGTCAATATTTTGGTCCAGAAATGCCCCTATAGTTACAAAATGGGTCAAAAATGCCCTTTTCCGAATAAATATTTTTTTTTCTTTTTAAACACACCTTCTTCCTAATTAAAATATTATTAAAGAACACTATTCTTGTTTTCTTTTTTGTAAAATCACTTTAACAAATAAAAATGTAGGAAATATTTTTTTTCTTCTTAATCTCATTATATCAATTAAAATAGAATAACTTCATGTACCATTTGGACATATAATATAGGGAAAAGGGTCAAAAGAATGGTGCAGTGCTGACACCAATCCACATATTGCAGTGCTGCCTTTGCACCCTGATCTCCGAGCCAAGTTTAACGAGACTGCTGCTTGGGAATATGCACGAAGCATGGCAGGAAAATCTTATGGTTACCACAACCTAATATTTAGCTGGATAGACACAATTGATGGAAATTACCCACCACCCGTGGATGCTCATCTGGTAGTGCATGCTATTTTTGTCTTGCCATTTTTTTGTTTGACCTATTATCTTGAAGGTGGTCCATACATACCCTTACTTAGTAAATCCTCTGGTTTGCGAGTATAGTCATCTCTGCTTAGGCTAACTATGTCCTATCAAAAAATAAAAAAGATAATCACAACAAACAGCTAACTTATATGTCCAAATGGTACATGAAGTTATTCTATTTTAATTAATATAATGAGATTAAGAAGAAAAAAAAAATTTCCTACATTTTTATTTGTTAAAGTGATTTTACAAAAAAGAAAACAAGAATAGTGTTCTTTAATAATATTTTAATTAGGAAGAAGGTGTGTTTAAAAAGAAAAAAAAATATTTATTCGGAAAAGGGCATTTTTGACCCATTTTGTAACTATAGGGGCATTTCTGGACCAAAGTATTGACGGTAAGGGCATTTTTGAGCCAAACTATAAACGGGGGGCATTTTTGTTCCTTTCGCATAGTTAAAGGGCATTTTTGACCCTTTTCCCTATTATTAAATTATTGTGATGATCGAATTGTTCGTGGTATTATATATGGTTGTGGGGCATTTTGCATACATACGTACATTACTTGTGGGGTTTGTTATTCTCATATTCATGCCTTTCCGTTTAGGTAATCTGTTAGCCTCGATTTCGTATAATGGTTTATGTAGAATTGTTATGAACAAGTGAGTTAGTTGAGAATTCAGTTTTTTAAAAGGCGGGGCGTTTTACTTAGTATAGGGCGAAGCGTAAGCCTCGAGATGTGGGGCGTAAGCCCTATGTATCTTTAATTTTTAATTTGCAATATAGTATAATAATATAATCACACAAAAATATAAAATAGTTTGAAATAATTTAAAACATGATTAAGGAAACTCATAGAAAATAAAATTTCTAACATGATTATACAAGTATAAATAATCTAATATCTTAACTTTCTAATAATAAAAGAATCATTATTTCTAAAAATACTTTTTATCATACTATACAATTTACCCCCCGAAAAGAAAATTATCAATAAAACTTGCTAATAATATTATAATAAAAACATCACTTCATCATGTAAAAAAAATATTACTTTCAAATAGCTAAATAAAATATAATAATTTTGAGATATATGACAAAACCATGAAGATCAACGATAAGTGAAAAAGTAAAATTTCATTACGTATTTTTTTTAAAAATGTTACGTACTAAATAATCACCTTCACAGTGTTACCAAATAGTAAAGATGTGATACTACAACTTGTTATTTGAGTTACTCTCAATCTTCTTATATCTATAGATTAAAAAAATTAATAAGTATCATTCATTTATTCAAGAATTATGAGAGTCAACAATGTTAACTAAAGATTTAACACATAAGATCTATTAGGCGAGCCCCGAGCGTTAGGCGTTGGGAGTGCTTAGGGCGTAAGTCTTACAGAACTAATCCCCACACTTGAGTCTCGGGGTGTTTTTCTAAAGCCCCACCCCAGGGTGAGCCCCGAGACGAGTCCCAACATAATCTTTTAAAACATTGGTTGAGATTGTTGTTTTAACACAATTTTGTTTTTACTATTGATCCATCTACATATACTCATGGTGTATATTTATCACATTTTCCTCTAGGCTATTGAGAAGAATGTTCCTTCTGGACCACATGCCTTTGAGGCAGAGATCCAAGGGTTCACCAACACCACATTCATTTCATGTTTTTAGACTATACCGATAGTAAATTTGTATTGTTAAATTCATCATTGAGATGCCTTCTAACCAAAAGTTATTTTGCCATCATCCACCATGACGAACTTGAAGCTTAGATAATCTACAATTTGTTGGTTTGGTAGAGCCATATTTTTTGAAAAAGAAAATGCAACAAATTAACT